CTAGATATAAGTTTCTTTATTAATAGCTAAGTAGCTTCTCATTTTCTAATCTGTCTAGATACAAGTTTCTTTATTAATAGCTAAGTGGCTTCTCATTTTCTAATCTGTCTAGATACAAGTTTCTTTATTAATAGCTAAGTGGCTTCTCATTTTCTAATCTGGCTAGATATAAGCTTCATTGTAAACGATAATTAACGAGGACAGATACGAAAGTATTTCAAAGTCACAAAACTTTTTGTTTACCTAATTCACAAACTAGGAAATGTTTTTATTTTTTCACTAGAAGTTAACCATGTCCTCCCATACTCGTGTTATAGTACAGTATATATACATAAAAAATAACGTCGGAACTTTTCACAAAACGTATCTCAGGAACTTGGAACCTACCATTTCTCGTGGTCCTAATGGTTCCATTTTTCAATCTTTTAACTTTTCTGCGCACTTTATTGTAGCAGATGGAAGCTTATCCATTATAGACCCATCCCATGTCTCATTGAATATCAGGTGTACTACACCTACCCCATGTCTCACTGAATATCAGGTGTACTAGCACCACCCACCCACCTTTATGAAACATTGCACAATTCTTACACTTTCGGTATTTCCAGTAATAAGTTATTCATAACAGATAAAAATATTCACCAATTTATTTCAAGGTTACGTTCGAAGAAACTGGTCAGATTTGTTACCCTCTCAGCTGCGTTTCCAAACCTAAGGCCGTATTTCCTCGAAGACAAAATACGCCAGAAGCACTACAAGGCTGCATAATTCAGTATAAAAGTATCATTGATATAAGAAACGAAGTTATCTGTGTGTGATATCTTTGAATACGCACACAGAAAGCCCTAGAAGTTACGTTATTAACTGTTGCACAATATATTACAAGGTTAAAATCTCCAAACGCTAAAGGGGAACTTGATATTACGTCATACCCTTTTGTAGCCACCTACTGGAAAAACGTGTAGAACCTTGACGTAAGTCAGTGCCAAATCCGGTTAAAATAATATGATTATTATTACTAATACTTTTCGTTCTTTCTTTTGTAATATATTGCTATAAACACCCAAAAATGCAATAAACAATTTAAACGATGTTTTTTAGGAAATTCGTTATAGAGAAGTTCTTACCTGCTTCAAGTTAAAATATTCATATCGAGTGAAAGTGATCAAATTCTGTCTTGGAGAAATGAAATGAATTTACGTGTAACCAACAGGTTTTTTTTACTCTTCTGTCAGTTTACGTAATTTCAAATCATTACTTATTTATGTGACCTGCCCAATTCTCGCTTCGCCCAGGATAAAACTGCGATCAATGAGCATGAACTTTTTACATAACTACATATTTTCTAAAATCTCACCAAGTAATGTAACTCTATACTGTTACGTCTCTGTTCATTTGTTAATTTTCCGTAAAAATTATTTCCGAAGAAACTTTAGCGATACAAGTCCTTTCTTAAATAAAGCTAGTTTATACTTTCTCAATACAACTTTGAAATACACTTAATTTCCACAGTCACGCTATAACTTAAACGAACGCTATTCACGCGCTTTACTCAATTGTCGTCTCTATCTCTGTCTGCAAT